TAATAATAACTCTAACTCTTTAGTCTATAAGGATTATTTAGAATCTAAATAATCTTTAGACTATAAAAGTATTTTGAATAAGGAAAATCTAATTTCTTTATTAACTAAATCTTCGATTAGGCTAAATTAATAAGAGATATTATCTATTATTAATCTATTTTTATTATAGCTTACCCTTTTATAGATCCTATAGTATAGTCTTATTATTAATATTAATAGATAGAGGTCTAATATTATTTATAAATTTTAGGAGTATCTAATAATCCCTAAATATCCTATAATAAATAAAGAAGGAATTTTATACTTTATCTATTCTAATAATCTATTTATTAATATTAAACTATTAATATAAAATCTAGCTAATATTATAGAAGTTTTTACTATCTTAATATTAAATATATATTTCCTATATATTTTAAATAATATATATTAATATTATTAGGTTTAATTTTTTATTAAATATAAAAGTAGTAATATATATTAAGCTTCGCTTTATTTCTTTTAGAAGTAAGTAATAGATTAAGAAGCTAAGATATAATATTAATCTTATATATATACTAGTATTTAGTATTACTCCTAGGCCTATCTAGACCTTCTTTAACTATTAACTTAATATAATTAGGTTAATCTAAAGATTTTTAATAAGCTTTAGATAAAAGCAGCTTGCCCTCTTTAATAATCTATATATAAATAAATCAAGAATCGAATAAAGGAGTAAATAACTCTTTATATATATTAAATATATCTTATATTTATATATTATATAGGTTTTACTAGGATTATATCTATAACTAGAATATAGATAGTCTATATAAGTATAAACCTAGGTATTTTATATATAAAGATTAATTTTTAACTATTTTCGAAAGGAATAGGATAAGTTACTCTATCTAAAAATAGTTATTTTATAAATACTAATTATCTAGATACCCTTTCTTAGATACTTAAGTAGTTCTAATAGTTAAATATAATACTCTACTCTTAAACAGTTTAGGCTTATTATATGGCTGCCATTTTCGGCGTCACTCAATGCCTTTTCTGGCCGTTATTTGGTAATATATGATCTAGATATACCGACACGTCCTATCTATCTAACTAACACGTATTAGTCAGCTCCACCCGTATAGATCCCTTAGACTGTTTTAGTTACCTTTACGAGTCTCCCTCTACTCTTAACGCTCTATATAGGCGCTAAAAATAATCTCCCTATACCTATTAAGCGGACCTGGCCTATAGCTATATTATATTAGTGCTAACCCGCCTACTATAGCTCCTTACTTCTACTTCTTTATATCCTTTGTTCTTCCTCTTTTGCTACTCCCTCGATCGCGAGGGTACCTCCTCACAAACTAGCCATTCACTCGTCCCTTAGTGTATATCCGCCTATTTAACTATATTTTAGTGCCGTGGTATCTTACACGTTTTCTCTGTACGTCTATCTTAGTCCCTTAGTCCCCCTTAGTCCTAGTAATAAAATATACTCGGTCCTAACAAAATCGAAATCCTGGAAGTAATTAGGGCGAGGAAGATATCTCTACTACTAACACCGATTTAGAGGAGTAGAGCGACGTTACTTATAAAACAGATTTAATAGAGCCGGACGATATCTCACGAAAATATCTCCGATCAGATAAGAACCTTACCCTAGAGTTAGAGATATCCTATAACGCTAGAGAGCTCTACGAGGACCTACTAGATAAAGGCGGAGTTAATCTCTCTAAGATCCCTAAGGATTTCGATAAAGCACTATTTACTATTAAATAATAAGAGCGGATTAAGAATCAGTAGAAAAGATAAATAAATTATTAAGCTCTATTTTATTTTAATCTCTTAATATAGCTATAGATACTATACTAGCTAAATATAGAATAGGCCTAATATATTAAAATAGCGTAAGGCCGAGGAGACGCTACATTAGGTATTAAATAATAATATATATTAATTTCTATATTAGTATCTTCTATTTAAGTAAAGTAAGGATAGTTGATATTATCTAAATATTAATAAAACTAGTATACTTAAGACTAACTAGAAAAACCTTTATTTATACTATTAGAAGCTTACTAAGATTATAATTAATAATAGAGATAGCTTAAAGATATAAAAGATTAGGATACCTTAAATATATCCTAGTTTAGCTTAATAACCTTAACTTAATATTATATATAAAGTATAAAGTATTTAATATAAGAGTTTAGTTTAGATACGTAGCCTACGAAAAAGACGCCGGTTTATATTAAGGATATCGGTCTATTTAATAAAATGATTTTATTAACGTAGAAGAAAAAGTTTTATCTAGGCTTTTAATATATTTAAATATATCTATTTAATTTATTTAGTATCTTTATAATATACTAGCGAAACGCCTTATTAAGTCTATAATTTAAGGATCTATAAATCTCTCTTTAGAAGGATTATTATAGAGGCCCGCTAGTTCCTATAATTAAATTTACCGCTAAAGGGATAAAGAAATTCTTTAGTCTAATAAAATTATATAATAAATATAATCCCTATCCCTCTCTTTTAATACTTTAGATATCTCTTAGTATAGATTTCTCTTAAGAACCTATAATTTCCGACCTAGGCTATATAGTTAACTAATTAATAGAACTACTTTTATATTTCCTAAGATTATTTATAGGCCCTTTCTAGTGATATATCTATATATATTACTTTTTAGTATCCTATTTTATATATAGATATTCCGAAATCAGGGGTTAACCTTAAAAGCTTAGCTACGGAAACTCTTTATTAGTAAAGGCTATAAATAGCTTTTAGTATCTTTAGACCCTAAAAAGATTAATTAGTATATTTTTTATAAAATAGAGTTAGTTAAAGGTATTCTAACTATTTAACGGACTATATAGATATCTAAATCTATTATATCTATTTTACTAGTTATATTTAAGGAGATTCGCGGATAGAAAAAGGTATTTTATATCTATTAATTCCGGTATAGAAGTAGTAAAGTATTTAATAAAAGTAATAAGTTATTCTATAGATACTATAGATTTTATCTTTTAATTTATAGCTAATATTATCTATAAAATAGATAAATAAAGAGTAATATTTATTAATTATAAAATATATTAGCCTCTATATCTTTCTAAACTACTATTATCCTCTATAGCTCGATACTAATATAATCTAGATTATCTATAGCCTCGATCTAGATATAGAACTAATATAAGCTATTATATAGTAAAACTATTAATAAGATATATAATATTTATATTATTTAACTAATTAATAATAGGTATAAATTAAAGATTATCCTAAGATAGAAAAGACCCGGTATAATCTACGTAAGATCTATATATAATACGAGGAGACCTAATAATCTAGCCTATTTCTCTAATTTTAGTAATATAAGAAGAAGGTAAAAAATACGTAAAAAAAGCTATAACGGAGCTTATAGTATTAGATTCGAGAGAAATTTAATAAAGAGTAAGCCTTTTTAGATATTAAGACGTAACTTTTAGATATCGCGGCTAAAGAAGAGAAAGAAGATAACTAGTCCTTAAAGGATACTATATACCTTTTTTAGTTATATTTTATATAGAGCCTTCTTTCCTACTTAGTTTCTAATTCTTTAGAAGATAAGTAGTATCGGCGTGATATAGGTACTATAGCTATTATATAGTACTATAATATCCTTAAAGAAGATCTATTAAAAAGCCGGCCTAAATAGAAATCTCTTAAGTCTACTCCGCTAGCTAGCCCGATAGCTTAGCCGAAGGCTTTATAGTAGATCTAAAGTAATATTAATTTATATAAGATACCTATATCTATATATAGTAAGCCGTTATATACTATTAGGGAATACCTCGAAACCGCTAAATAGCTAGAGGTTTATTTTTAATATTTCGCGAGTGAAGGGCTTCCGGATAAGATTCGCTTTTAGATATTTTATAATCCTAGTTATATTACGCGTTATTTTAATACTATTTATCTAAAGGAAAAGCTACTTAAATATAACTAGTATAAAATAACGTTATTATATCGAATAGCGTTCTAGTGTTATATTTTTGATATATATTATATACGGAGTCGCTGGCGTTGCCTAAATCCGGTATAGAAACTCTAAAAAATAAACGAATCATGATCTATTTTATAATAGTTATATAAAGGGAGGGGGCTTATTCTCTAGATAGATATATATATACGCTATTACGTTACTTTTCAACTATTACTAGCTAGGCTATTAAAGGGTATATACGCGATAACGTAATCCACAAGCGAGTGCCGTACATAAGCGAGTGCCGCACTACACGAAAATCGCGTTATCTTCGCGAACCTACTTAATTTAACTATCTACTATACTATTAATTCGCTCTCAAACTACTAGAAAATCTATTAAAAAAGAGGGTAGGACCTTCCTGTTACGAACCGCTAACTGGTCACGGTGAGTAGGGTCCTCAAAGGATGATACTTCTCTTGGAATACTGCGAGCCCCAAGTATAGTCCGCAACCTGTACCAATGCCGCGCAGGGCCTTAGATGGACTCGGGTCTCTAGGGTACTTGCAGGGTGTGACAGTTAGGGCGCCGATCAAGTCAGTCACTTAGGGATCAAAGATCACTAAGTAAGCTCCCAAGATCGTTGAGGTTTTTGGCTTTATAGTCGAGACTGTGAACGGTACTCAAGTAACAATGGTATGAAGATTGATCACAAAGAACTAGGTACATCCTGGTGAACGAGTGTCCTTATATCCTCCGTCCTTGGGTTGGTAGATTGGTAGATGGTATAGTGGTAGTTGAGACCTTGGCGTCGTCTACCGTTTGATCAGCATACCCTTCTACCACCTGCATGTGGTCACGTGATGATCTTAATCATCTCTGTCTGGTGATCTGTTGCGCCGCTCCATGTGGGCCAGATCGATTGGTGGTTGCAGGGTTCGTAACATCACCTCCCCCTCTTCTCGGGTTTCGCCCTCGAATCCCTTATAACCTGTCTATCCCTAGGTGGTGTCTTCTTCCTTCGGTATGTCCTTCGTTCGCAATGCCTAAACGAAAGGCTGACGCAGTTATTGAGAGTACCCCCAAGCTTCCGTCGTTGCGGGATCAAGTCGCTGGTCGTATTCGTCAGTCGAATTATATTTCGGACAACGGTTTCGTTGCTTCTGTCTCGTGTTCTCATTGTGCCGAATCTGGCGAAGATTGCGTGATGGATCGTTCCCGAAGGTATTCAAAGTGTGCGTCGTGTACTCGTGCTGGTCGTTCCTGCAAGAGGGAATTCCATACTGGCGTGGAATGGGACCTGCTGTCTCGTGCCGAGTCGAAGTTGTCGGCGGATATTGAAAGGAGTGAATCAGAGTTGGATTTGTTGGAGCCTGAGCTGGGCGAGTTACAAGATCGTCTCGCAGCGTTGCATCAACAGGTGTTGGATAAGCAAAAGCAGTATCAGGCGACGATGAGTCGTCAACGTCGTCTGCGGAAACAAATGGCCTTCTTAAAGCAGAAGGGCTTCAAGATGTCAGAGCATGATGCGGAATTGTTGGCGATTCTGGACGAAAAACAAACGTCCCCAGAGCAGGTTGTATCCCCTGCTCTCGATCTCCAGCAGTTGGCGGCTACTGCTGAGAATCCGAATTTTGATCAGATGTGGGATGAAATTGTTCGGATCCCTTCGGTTTTTTGGGACAGCGCTGGCACCGGCGCTTCCTCTGCTGTCGCTGCTGGGGCGTCCTTTTCGCCGCAAGGTAGTACTGCTCAACCATCCGGTGGCAGCCCCCCAAGTGCGCAATAGGTTCCCATGTGTTTTCTGAGGTGGGGTACCCTTTCCATTTCACAAGAAGTTGTTGTTGACCATTGTGCCAGCGATCGTCCACAATTGCTTCGACTTCGTATTCGCCTTCGGTTTCTTCTTTGATTTCCACATTGGTAGTGAGTTCAGCGTTTTTCGGTGCGGGTTCAAGCAATGAGATGTGAAATACTGGATGAATTCTCCCCATGCTCTCCGGTAGTTTCAGTCGGTAGTTGACTGGTCCCGTCTTTTCTTCGATCGTGAATGGTCCCAGTTTCTTGTGGTCGAGCTTGTCGCTTGGTCGTTTGGTTTTGATGTTTCGTCGTAGGAGGTAGACCTTCTCCCCTTTTTTTAAGTCAGGACCATCCCGATGGCGTTGGTCGTAGTGCATTTTCATGCGTAGATTCAGGAATTCGATGTCTCGAGCCATTTGTGTGTGAAGCTGTTTGACTCCGGTGGCTAGTAATCGCGCTGATTCTGCCACATTGTGTTTGTTCCGTGGTTCCCCGATTAACTTGGGATTATACCCGTAGTTTGCGAAGAATGGTGTTTCCTTCGTGGTTGCGTGCATCGCGTTGTTGTACGCGAATTGTGCGATTGGCAACAATCTTGCCCAGTTGTCCTGCTGGTAGTTCACATGGTGTCTCAGGTATTGTTCCAACGTCTGGTTGACTCGTTCAGTCTGTCCATTGGTCTGTGGATGATATGAGGTAGAGAGTCTATGCTCAATGCCCATTTGGTCCGCAAATGATTGCCACATATTGGACGTAAACAACTTGTCTCGGTCCGATGTGATCTTGTCCGGTGTTCCGTGGTTTGCAAAAACGTAACGAAGTAGTATATTCGCCATGCGATTTGCGTCGATGTTCTCTGTTGTCGCAATCATGTATGCGTATTTCGTGAGTCGATCGACTATGACCATGATCATGTCGCATCCTTCCGACTCAGGTAGTTTCGTGATGAAGTCCATGGTTATCCATTCCCATGGTCGTGTTGGTGTGTTCGGGATTTGCATTTCTCCTTGAGGAAGTTGTCTTGGTGTCTTGTCTCGTTGGCACGTGTCGCAATTTCTGATGTAGTTTCTCACTTTTCGGTGCATGTTCGGGAAGTAGTAATTGCGAGAAATCTGTTCCATGGTTTTTTCGATTCCTGGATGTCCGTGTGTGGGTAAATCATGATGTTTCAGGATAGTCTTGTTCTGCAATGGTCGTGGAACATAGATTAATCCGTGAATGAGGACGAGTCCTTCGTCACTCATGGTGCCATGTTGGTCTGTTGCCAAGATTTTCTGCATGGATTCGTCTTCGACGGTGGCTCTGCGGATCTGCTCGAGCCAGTCGTCGTCTTCGGGTTCGCTTGTTGCGGAGAGTATCTGTCGATTGTACACGATTTCTCCCTGTTCGTTGGTTGCCAGGATAGCAGGTTCTGCTTCTTTGGTTCCTAACTCGTAATCTGGTCGTCGGCTGAGTGCATCGGCGACTGCGTTTTCGGTTCCCTTGCAGTGTACGATTCTGAAATCGTACTGTGAAAGAGTTTCAGCCCATCTGGCTTGTCGTCGAGTGAGTTTCTTCGTTGTTGTGAAGAATGTCAGGTTGTGATGGTCCGTTTTGACTGTCACGGTGTGCTTTGCTCCTTCCAGGTATGCTCTCCAGACTTGGAATGCTGACACGATAGCCAGTAATTCTTTGTCGTGGATGTCATAGTTGAGCTCTGCTGGAATCATTTTCCTGGACCAGAACGCAACTGGTCGTAGCGTGTTTTCCTCGTCGGGTTGGAGTAGCTGTGCTCCTAGCGCATAATCTGATGCGTCGGTTTCCAAAATGCATGGTTGTTCGTAGTTGAAGACCTTCACGATCCTGTCTTTGGTATACAGGTCTTTAAGTTTCTGGAATGTTTCTTCTGCTGTGTCGTCCCAATTGAATGTTTCTCCCTTCTTGGTGAATCGGTAGAGTCCTGCCGCATGCTTCGAGTATTGTGGTACAAGCTTTCGGTAGTAATTGCACAATCCGAGGAAGCTTTGGACGTCTCTGGTGCTTTGCGGTGTAGGCCAATCGACAATAGCCTTGATTTTTTCTTCCTCCATCCCCAATCCTTGTGGGCTGATGGTGTATCCTAGGAACGTTGTTTCCTGGACGTGGAATTCACACTTCTTGGGTTTCAGTGTGACCTTAGCTTCTCTGAGCTTCTGTAGCACTTTTCTGTTGTGTTCCACGTGTTCGGCCTCTGTTTTGGAGAATACTAAGATATCGTCCAAGTAGGCTATCACGAAAGTGTCGAGGTATTCTTCCAGTATGCTGAAAATGAAGCGCTGGAACGATGCCGGTGCGTTGGTGAGTCCAAAAGGCATAACAGTGTATTCGAAGTGTCCAAACTTAGTTCGAAATGCTGTTTTCCATTCGTGGCCTTCTTTGATCCGTAGCCGATTGTAGGCATTTGTGATGTCGTACTTCGTGAAGTAATTGGCGCCTTGGATCCGATCTTGGATCTCGCTGATCAAAGGTAGCGGGTGTCGATCTTTGATGGTTATCGAATTTAGTTGTCGGTAGTCCACGCAAAGTCGGAGTGATCCGTCCTTTTTTGGCACAAAGAGGATAGGGTATCCTGCTGGTGATGTCGATTTTCTGATGTAACCTTTGCGTAGGTTCTCGTCGATGTATTCCTTCAGCGTCTCGGATTCTTTCTGCGAGAGCTGGTAGATTGGCATGAATCTGGGTTCTTTTCCTTCTTGAACGTTGATTTCATGATCAAATGAGTCGTGTGCGGGCAATGTTCCTTCCGCTGGTGGTGTAAACACATCCTGGTACTCCTGATACTCGTCGGGTACTAGTGCTTCTTCTCCTGCCGCGATGGCACAGAGGGATCTCGATTCGTGCTCGACCATAACGTACTCTTCCAATTCGTCGTTGGTCATGTCTGGTCGCTGTTCGATTGTTGCGATAACACTGACATCCATTGTCTTGTGTTGTGCCCCGCCTCTGGGCCGAGTACTTCTCGTGAGTCCCGCCTCATGAGAGTCTCGAGGACTACCTGCCTCCCCGGGGCTAGGTTCCTTTCGTTGCTGTCGTGCGAGTCCGGTCCATGTCTCACTGGTCTGTCGACACTCGCATCTGTCGAAGACAACTGTTCCTTTCATCCAATCAATCGCTGGGTTGTGTCGTCGCAGCCACGGAATTCCTAACACAACGTCGTACTCTCCAAGGTTGGTGATATCGAAGTTAATGGTTTCGAAATGGTTTCCCAAGACCATAGGGAGTCGACCCGTCTCGTGCGTGATTCCTGGCCCTAGCCTCTCTCCGTTGAGACCAATGATGGGTGAGACATTTTTCTTCTCGTTCCTTTGAACGTTCTTCTGTTGGCAATATCGTGGGCTCATAAAGTTTCCTGAGGCCCCTGAATCGATCATTGCTCGTGTATCCTTGTACGCGATGTTGACCATAACTTTCATGTGGGCTCCCCATTGGGTAGCTGCAAGCTGTCGTGGGTTCTTCAGTTTCTCGTTTCCTCGCCAGGTGCCTGTAAATTCAGGTTTCCACTGTGGCGGGTTTTCCCAATGTAATGGTCGTGGTTCAATCCCATAATTCAATTTTCCTTGTCGATGGGTTGCGCAATCGTGATCGTAGCATCCTAGAACCGCACGGATGTCGTGTTTTGGGTGTCGTGCGTAGCCTCGACAAGAACATCGTGGATGTTCACATGGACACGTAGGTTCATTCTGGGATCGCTCTTCTTGAGCCGGCTCATCTTGAAGATCTTTTGCCTCGTCACTCAAGGCATTCTGAGTCTGTTCGGGTTGCTTTTCACTGTTTCTGGGGGATCTCGTAGGCGTTTCCAGGTGAGTTGTCGTCCTTAGGAGTTCGGGTGGAGTTTCTTGGATCTCCGGGGTTCCTGGGACCTCAATTGGTGTTTTCAGGATACCTGTTTCCCGCTCATGGAAGTTACTCCATTCGTCCTGGGAGTCGATGGCGTTCCAGGGACCGTACTGGGTCCATCCTTGACTCTCGATGCGTTCCCAATCAATCTCTGGGAATTCTTCACTCTGCTGTTTCTCTAACTGGTGTAGGTCGGCCAGTTGATCAAGGATCTTTGTCCATTCCTTGAGTCCTTCTTCTCGTGAGGTCATTTTATCGTGTACTTCTGACAGAGCCGTTCGGAGTTGGCTAATTTCACTGTCCAAGTTTCGTGTTCGTAGTGTTTTCTGCTTTGGTGGTGGTGGCTTGCTGCCGTCCACAATCACTGGTCCTTCCCGTCCTTGCTCTCTTGTTGCGCAGAGCTGCTGGGTTCGTTTCTCGGCTTTCACGATGCCGGTGGTATCGTATGCTCCTCTGTCGAGCCTTTCATTCGTTGCTCGCATTTGATGCGGTTTGTCGTTGCGTTTCTTGCATTCTCTCGATCGATGTCCTGGCTTTCCGCACTTGAAGCACAGGTTGTTTTCTTTGCGTCGACGTTGCTCCTCCTCTGGAAGCCTTACTGCGTCGAGTTCCATTGGTCGTGGGCCATATGGGTCGTTAGAGCGCGGCTGCTGCGTCCGCTGAGGTTGGAACCGCTGATGAGATGGGCGACCGTTGCCTCGTCTCCATCCTTCCACCTCCCGTTTCTGCATTTGTCTGTCGTGGAATCTGTTGTCGATACGGACCGCGAAGTCGATGAGCGCGTCCATAGTGTCGAAGTCTCCATGTCTTGCGATTTCGTCCTTGACGTGAGATTTCAATCCTTCGTCGTAGTATGGAATCAGAGCGTAATCATCCCATCCAAGTATCGCTGCTTGCTGCATGAATTCGGCCGTGTAGGCTGATGCCGATCCCGTCTGTCGGAGTCGTCTGAGTTTTCGTTCAGCTGTTTTCTTTGCGTCGATGTCGCCGAATGTTTTTTCAAGATGAGTCTTGAAATTGCCGTAACTGCTGAAAATGTTTCGTGCGGTGTTTGACCATTCCGAGCTGTCCTTTTCGTAGTATTCTCGGACGTATGGTTCGAGCCAATCCCATGCTTGTCCTCGTAGATAGGTTGACACGAAGATGACTTTGCTCGCTTCAGTCGTCAATCGATGCCTGTTGACATCGAGGTGCATGTTCATTTGTGTGAGGAATCCTCGCAACTTAGAGCGAGTTCCATCGAAGTTCTCTGCCTTGGGCAGCTGCGGTGCCGTTGGCGATGGAGCTTGGAGTTGGACATCGGTTTGCTGGACTGAGTCGTGAAGGTTCTTGATTTCACCGTCGTGTTTTTGTTCGAATATGGTGAGTTGGCTAATGAGGGTGCTGATTTGTCTTTCCAATTCCTTGATTCTTTTCTCGTCTTCGTCTTCCGATTCTGGGTCGGGTTGACGTGTCTGGGTTTTCGGTGGCACAGGTTCGACTGCCTTGCCTTTGTGGTTACTGCCATGCGAAGACATGATGACCGTTGCTTCACAGTTTCGACTGACAGGGTGATCAATGTGTTACGAACCGCTAACTGGTCACGGTGAGTAGGGTCCTCAAAGGATGATACTTCTCTTGGAATACTGCGAGCCCCAAGTATAGTCCGCAACCTGTACCAATGCCGCGCAGGGCCTTAGATGGACTCGGGTCTCTAGGGTACTTGCAGGGTGTGACAGTTAGGGCGCCGATCAAGTCAGTCACTTAGGGATCAAAGATCACTAAGTAAGCTCCCAAGATCGTTGAGGTTTTTGGCTTTATAGTCGAGACTGTGAACGGTACTCAAGTAACAATGGTATGAAGATTGATCACAAAGAACTAGGTACATCCTGGTGAACGAGTGTCCTTATATCCTCCGTCCTTGGGTTGGTAGATTGGTAGATGGTATAGTGGTAGTTGAGACCTTGGCGTCGTCTACCGTTTGATCAGCATACCCTTCTACCACCTGCATGTGGTCACGTGATGATCTTAATCATCTCTGTCTGGTGATCTGTTGCGCCGCTCCATGTGGGCCAGATCGATTGGTGGTTGCAGGGTTCGTAACACTTCCTAGCTATCGAGGCTATTTAGAAGCAAGAAATTCCTTTAATTCGTGAAGCAGCGCGTCGATTCGAAGTCTCTAAGTATACTATTTACCGCTATCTTTTTAGCTAATCTTTTTAAGCCGATATACGCGTTAACTATTAGAAATTAATTTAATTTAAAGAAGAATCAATTCTTCGATAGATCCTCTCTATAGATCGATATAGAATAGCTCTTTAGCTAATAGCTATATAAGAAATAGCTAATATTCTATTAGCTAAACGTGGATCTACCTCTATTTAGTCTATCGGCCAGAATTAGGTCTATAATTTTATTAAATACTATAATAAAATCAAGACTTACTTCTTTTATCGATATAATTATTAATATACTAAAAATAAAGACCCAAAAATCATTAATAAATAGTTTAACTATATTCGAAAGATAGTTAATAAAAATAGTATTCTATATAACGATATATATAACTTCGATAAGACTAGCTTCGTAATAGGCCTTACTTTAATAGCTAAAGTAATTACTCGGTCTAAATATTATAATTAGTAATTATTATTATAATCTAGGAATTATAAATAGATTATAGTAATTAAGTCGATAAACATATCTAGATAGATACTATTACTATATATTATCTTTAAAGATAAGGTCTATATTGAGGGCTAGTTTAATAATCTACTACCTAATTAGTATTTCGAAATTAACGAAAATAGTTAGACTATAGACAAAATTAGCCTTCGCTAGCTAAAAAAGGTCTTTATACTAATTATTACTAATCGTATAAAAGATAAATATCGATTTCTTATCCTTGATAGCTATAGTAGCTATTTAATACCTTAATTTAATAAAGTATATAGCGATATAAATATTATACTAATTTATATACCGGCGTATTTATTATATATTCTATAGCCTCTTAATATTAGCTGCTTTATATCTTTAAAAAAGGTATATAGTAGTTTAGTTAAGAGGTAAATATAATATAATATTAATTATATCGATAAATTCGATTTTCTTATTATATACCTAACTACTCGCTCGTAAGCCTTTAATAAAACTAAAACTATTTAAAATAGCTTTATAGTAGCTGGATTAGTTCTTTATAATCTAGATCGGGTTATCGAAAAGCTTAATATTTAGCTTTATATATCTATACCCCTTAGAAGTAGCTAGGGTAATTAAAATAGTTAATTTTTGTTAAAAACCCCCTAAAATTTAAAATAGCTATATTAATAGGCTTTATTAATTAAAGCTCTACTAAAGTATCGCTTTTATAGCCTACTAAGTCTAACTAACTGTAAAGGGTCTACCAAGATGGCAAGGCATGAAGTTATTCCTAACTAACGGAAGGGGTGAATTAGGTGATATTATATGATCCTGAAGGAAGTCGGAACTTATTACTTAATCCACCCTATAGTAGAATAATCACGATATATAATAGAGACCTAGTTATTTATATTATTAATAATATATAGAGTTACGAAGATACTATATAATAAATTAATACTCCTATATCTAGCTAGTAAGATAAGATTTAGTTTTAATAGTAATAAGGATATATTATTTTCTTTTACTCCTTCTCTTTATTTCTTTATCTAATTAATAGACTTTATACTCTAATAAGTATATTCTTTATAATTCTAAATCTTCCTCTTCGATTATCTAAAGAAATAGGATAACTCTACGGACCTAATCTATTATAATATATTAGAGTAATACTCTTAAAAAAATATTATAAACCCCTCTATCCGAAACTAATTAGACTTAATTAGATAAAGATCTATAGACTATCTAGGAAATAATCGAAAAACTTTAATATCTATAAGAGCTATAATAAATAGCCTAATAAATAAAAAGTTAGCTTAAATAAAAGAATACTACTAAATCTTTAGCGAATTAATAATAAAATTAGGGTTTATCCCCTATAGAAGATAAAAATAAGATCCGGATTAGAAATATCTTAATACTCTCGATCTATTTCTCTTTTTAATAAAGAGAAAAATAGCTCTTAGATCTCTCTTTTATCTTTAAAAGAGTACTATAGAAGTATTATTATAAGGAATAGCAAATTATTATAGCCTTATTATATATAAAACTTATCTATTAATAGAGATAGTATTAATATATTACTAAAAAACCTAAGAAAAAATAACGAAATATTAACGTTTCGTGGATTTATTTCAAGAATTAGACTCTCTCTTTTATTAAAGATACTATAACTCTTAAAATTAATATTATAAGATAATTATAAAGAGCTTATTAATATCTAGAGTAAGATCCGCGAGAGTTTTATATATTTTTAGACTTATTAAAATAATACTTCCCTCGTTAAAATAAAAAAGAGAGGGTATTTATAATATTCTCAAAATTTACCTATAATTTTAGGCAATATATATAGGAATATATATATAAGCTATCTAAAAACCGAGATAAGATAGTATCTTTAGCTACGTATTACTAGAGATTACTATAATTAACACGAAAACGAAAAGGCCCCGAAACCCTTAAAAGACCTATAAATAAATAATTTTAGACTAATCAGTATTAACTAAACCGCAAAATTTAGGGATCTAAAGAAAGGATCTAGGAAAAAGAAAAGAACCTAACTAAAAGAGATAAGAAAACCCTTTAATATTATATTTATTAAAACGAAACCTATCTTATTAATTATTACTCTAATAAATTAAATAAGAAAACTAGTATATAAATAATAACTTAGATTAAGTTAGAAAATAATAATAAGTTAGTCTAATTCTTACG